TGTGATGGTCCTGCCTTCAGTCATCTACCGGCTACAATGTCTAAGTTCTGCTGCACAGCTGATGAAACTCATGGGCATCCACATATCTACAACCACAGTAAAAAGTTCGTTTTATTATTTTCATTGTTTGTTTGTTTGTTTGTTTGTTTTTGTTTTTCTGCAGATGTTGATGGCACTGACTGCTGCGAGCTGTAATGAAGGCTTTTCTCTCAAGAGACTCGAGCTTTTAGGTGATTCATTCCTCAAATTTGCACTGAGCTTCCACTTGGTCTCTGAATTTCATTCTTTTTGTGAAAGAATGATTTCTTTCATAAAAGCATCAAGAGCAGATCTCTAACACCAATTTGCACAGGCTTGGTGTACAAAGAGGATTGGTGGTAAGCATGCAATAATATGTTTCTAATTTCTTCAACAGAACTTACAAATGTACATTAGAGATGGGCAGTTTGAGCCAACAGATTGGATTGCACTGGTCCTTTGCTCTTCTTTGGCCAGTCACAAAAAGATTTTAGGATGGAAGTTATGTGATAAAGGTTATTGTAGAAAATTGGTTATAGATGTAATGGAAGTTATAAGAACTCATATGTGTTTCTTATTAAGCATAGTTTTTAATTTTCTTTTGCTTTGTTTTACACTAGATTGACAATAACCCCCATGATATTAAGTTTAGTCCCTCAATATTTGATAGATAATAATTTATCATGTATGTCATGTGAAACACAAATCCCTAACCCCTAAAGTAAAGTCAAAAGTGTGCCACATAATAATGGTTGAAATTGAAGCCAAATGAGTGTAATATGTTTCAACTAAAACTCTGACTTGGATAGTTGAGAGTATGAATGGAATTCCCAATAAAATGCTTAAGGAACGAGCACAAAGCAAGTTGTAAATGAGTCTCTAAAAAATAGACACAAGAGGACTAACACATGACATATAAAATTGTTAAAATAGAGTTTAAGAAGGAATTTGAGATATATTCAAGAAAGAGTCCAAGATGGACTCGAAAAAGAGTTTGAGATGCAGTCCGAGAGAAAATCCGAGATAAACCCGAGAAAGAGTTGTTTTTTATGCTGGCAAGATGGAAACCATTGTCCCATTGGCAAAAAAAAGCCTCACTCGACTACCAAACCCATACTTTTGGAGCATGGTCTGACAGGATGCTAGGCGATAGCGAGAAATATCAACTCATGTTAGTGTTCCAGCCCCCACACCAAAACCTCTGCATACAAGTTGAAAGAACTCCCATAAACTGCAATGAAAGCTTCGCTTACCAGGAGCTGCACATGTGATCACCGGATTGTATATCAGGTGCTGCAACAGCAGCCCCGGAGGCCGCATCCATACCGTAAATCTGTCGAGAAAATGAAACAAACAAGAGTTCTCGATTTTTTATTTTTTTTTTCATATTTTCTCACCTTTCCAGACTTGTAGGCACTGGACGATGCCAGTGAGAACACTGGAAACATAGCCAAGAAACAGGCTCGACTTTGATCTCAAGTTCTTTCACTAACTCCCCACGGCTTTACTCTGGCAATCCAATCAAACAAAGAAAAGGAATCCCGAGTTCTAGTACCTGAAGTAACGCAGCATTTGAGCCGCGTGGTAGAACAATCTGCCCGAGAAGAAAATCCACGAACTCCGGAGGCAGGGGAAGAAGATTTGTAGCAACAGCAGTGGCACCTTCGTCTTTGCAAGAGAATGGATCGCTCGCGGCAGCTGGCGCCACCTCAATGCACGCCATTGCTCACGAAAGATCAAACTATTGTCACGTAACTCATTAAACTCATTGCGATGAAAGCTTAGCTTACCGGAGGAAGTGATCACTAGATTGTATCAAATGAGGCTCCAAGGGAGAAAGAAGAAGAGAAAAATCAGCCATATAGTCATCTAGAAGTATTCTCGTCTCACCTTGTAGCCACTGGATGATGCCGCAAGAAATCATGAAAGGAGCTTTTTCAAATAAGCGATGGCAGCGTTGGCTGCTGAGTCTTTGGCCCGCTTCATGTCTCGCTGGGGCTCTCCATAAAATGTCACGGGTCCATCGATTGGAAAACTGATTGTCACAGCCAAAGCAAAACTACAAGATGAAAAAAAAAACAACAATCAGCAGGATTAGGAGTTTCATTCTTTTCTTTTCTTTTCTTACTGTTTCATGTGAGGAGGACCACTCTCCTCGCAAATAATGTACTCGGGATCCGGCCACCGTCTCTTTTGGCAGAGAATTTGAAGCTCTGCTCGTGGAGCTCCAGCAACAAAAGAATCACTGCCACCACCTTCTGGAAAGAAAACACAAATCTTAAGGATAGAAACATGAAATAGCTTTTACCGTGTCTAGGAGGAACAGTAGACGAAGCTGTAGCACTGCAAAGCTTCTCGAGGAGATCATCGTCGAGACCTAACTCTTCCGCAAGTGATGCTGCTAGAACATCTGACTCGTGTTCAGTGTCGACAAGTTCTAAATCGGAAGGCAAGTCATGGTCTGGAGGAAGACTTTCCTGCCGAAATAGATCCGATTCTGTAGAAGAACTCGAGCTCGACATTGGTGGTACGAAGGATGCAATGCACTGTGTAACGACGGGGACACTGAAGTTCAAACCGTTGTTTATGATGACCTTTGAGGCCTCTATGTGTGTCTCGGCCTGAATAGCATGAAGGAGTTCGTGCCGTGGGTGTTGAAATCCCAAAGCCTGAATATAAAAAGAAAAACTCTAACGTTTTCGGAGCATAACTTGTTATTACCTTCAGTTTTTCCAAGGCATCGGCAGAAGACTGCTTCTTGAGAAGCTTTTTGTTTGCTCCTCCGGAGCCTTGTCCTGTGACTAAGCCTCCGTCTGCCAATGTCACCGAGCAAGTTCCAACGTTGTAGCTTGGAGCTGAAATTTCTTTCAGCTGGCATAGCTCCTGAAGCTCTTGGACTGGGTGAAGTGCCAAGCTCTCGAGACTGGCTATCGGGCGAAGAAGGGGCTCCAATATGCTCCACACTATTTCCAGATTACCACCCGTATCAAATAACAAAGCTCCCGCGAGAGATTCCACTAAATCACTGAGACACTGCAAAAGAAAAAGAGACAAGCGTCAGGAGGAGGACAAACTTTAAAAGCTCAGAGACTGACCTTTGGCGGTTGCTCAAGCTTCCAGTCCTCGAAACATTGCACATTTTTGTTCAGGAGATACTCGTCAATCTCTTTCTTATGGTTGTGACGCAGATACTTGTGAAAGTTGTGGCGCACAGCAACGAAAGCGAACCAAACGTTGTTTACTGTAGCAGCCTTGAGATCACTGAGAAGTCCCGGTTGCAAGTTGGGATAGCTCGCATAAAGATGAAGAACGATAAGGTAATCCAGGACAGCATCGCCTAAATACTCCAGCCGCTGACAACTAACCAGTGTTAGTCCAGCTCCAAAACTTACTCGTCTACCTGATATGATCGAACGCTGGAAGAAGCATGAGTGAACGCTTCAACAAGGAAGCATTTGTTCCGAAAGGTATAGCCGATTATCTTTTCTAGATTGCAGATATCGTCAACTTCAGAAGCTTGGCATGAGAACACAGGTACTAAACACCTGTCAACCAGCTTAAATCCTGCCCAGGTCATGAAGTGATAGGCAGCATCAGCGGAGTTGTCAGTAATGTATGCACCGATGATGGCCTCCATTACATCTGCAACAGATTTTCTTCGCAGCCAACGATGACCTTTGTCACATAACTTCCGTCCTAAAATCTTTTCGTGACTTGCCAAAGAAGAGCAAGGGACCGGTGCAATCCAATCCGTTGGCTCAAACTGCCCATCTCTGATGTACGTCTGTAAGTTCTGTTGAAGAGACTAGAAACATATTATTGCATGCTTACCACCAATCTTCTTTGTACACCAAGCCTGTGCAAATTGCTGTTAGAGATCTGCTCTTGACGCTTTTGTGAAAGAAAGCCTTCTCGTTCTTCTGGAAATTCAGAGACCAAGTGGAAGCTCAGTGCAAATTTGAGGAATGAGTCGCCTAAAAGCTCGAGTCTCTCAAGAGAAAAGCCTTCATTACAGCTCGCAGCAGTCAGTGCCATCAACATCTGCAGAAAAAAACAAACAAACAAACAATGAAAATAATAAAACGAACTTTTTACCGTGGTTGTAGATATGTGGATCCCCACGAGTTTCGTTAGCTGTGCAGCAGAACTTAGACATTGTAACCGGTAGATGACTGAAGGCAGGACCATCACAGACACCACAATGGAGTAGTCAACTTCTGGTTGTAAGAGAATGCAAAGTTCGGGTGGCAGCTTGTTAGTCGATATGCCATTCGACGCGCTTGGCAAGTCTGTTGAACGGGGCAGTAAATAGTTGTGCACATTGCCAGGCAAGTTGTTCACTTTTAGAAGTGGTTGGGCTGGATATTGCAGTTTGACATTATGTCTGTAAGTCGCGTGTTCCAATCAGAGCGAAGAAGAAACTAACAAGTCTTACACTTCCAGAAAGTAGTCGGAATACGTATTATAGTTGTGATTGAAAAACGAGCTCTGCGCCGTCATTTCTTCGAGAACACCCAGATGAGAATAAAATAACGGTTTCCTGGTGTGCTTTGTAAGAATCAGTCCTGCTTTGATATCTGTAGCTCGCAATGAATAATTTGCAAAATGTAGAACACTTTCGTCATCGTTGTCTGAGACTATTGATGGAGGTGTGAGAGACTGAACGCATTTCCAGTCCACATCCAAAACATTTATCTTGCCAGGAAGCAGTGGCAGAAGTAAGTATGGCTG